AGAAAATATTAGAAAGAAAAGAGATGTTTAAAATAAAGTAGTTGACAGTAGTCACCTGTTGTCACTGTTTTGCAGAAGAAGTGTTTTATCCAAAATATTTGGATGACCTTGAAAGTGGTGGTGTGAGAAGTTTTAAAAAGTGTTTCAATTTTTGTTTGAATTCTTTGTAAATAAATATTATTAGTCTTTTTTAAAAGAAAGACGGGGGACTGTGAAAGGTTCATTTATATTATTAAATAGCACATGACCATGAAAACACTTTTGTTAATGAAAGTATTATATGGAAAAAATAATTTTGTTAATTGCATGTAATATAAGATGTAGAACATGGAAATTAAAAGTTTCTTTTTATTTTCATTCATTTGTTTGAAGATAATGTGCATGTCACCAAAAGTGTTATTATAAGAAGAGGGTAATCTATTAATTTAGCAAATAACGTTAAGACAGAAATAAGTGATGGATGTTAATTGTTTAATTGTCTGGATATATATGTAAAGGGAACTGTTTCAGTCAACACATTCTCTATCTTATGTCTTAGGCCTAAATCCAATTATCATTGTTTACCAGTGATCTTTGCAAAAACACGCCTGTATGAAGATAGCTCTGATGTTTCCCATAATTAATTATCTCTATTAGGTTTAAACCATGCATGTTTGGTACATGGTTCAGTACAAGATCATTATGCAATCATGTGACGGTTAGTTCACAAACAAAAACATTTAGTCAAATATAGTCTTACAGATCCAAAATACATGCAACTATTTTTAAAAAGGTTAGGTGTAGGTTATAATTTTTATGATACCCATTTACTTAGTGTAATACCTTTTCAATTTTTTCCTCTTGGAGTTTGCTCAAAGTGCTGTTTCTTTCAGGCTCAAAGTTTAACTGATGAAGGGATCATCCATAAATTGTATAGAAACAAAAGGCTGAACCTAAAGAAATGAGATAACAGCTGGCTTCCACAAATAACAAACAAATGAACAGTTAACCTATTAGCGGCATTGTTTGTGGAATAAATAATTGCTGTGTTGTTGATCTGAGGATGACATCTACTAGGGGTTGTGTGTTCATGGTGTGGGTCTTCATGTAACTGAACAAGCTGATTATCAACCTGCGGATTTTTGGACACGTGGGGAAGAATGTCCCAGGAAGTAGAGGAATCCAGAGTGTGGAATTTGCTTCGTCTTCAGGCTCATCATTAAGGTGTTTTGACTCAAAGCATGATGCAGCTTGATGTTCAAACTTCCACTATTTTGAATGATTGGTAGCAAGCTCCTCCTGGTCATTAATGTCAATGCTGCCACACTTGTAAAAGAGCATCAGTGTGTGTATAGCATTTTCCTTGTTCTGCTTTGGGACACTGGACATTTGAGAGTTGAGAAAATAGGGCCAGTTTTTGGATATCCAGACAGTGTCCCATCCACTGCGTTAATTTTGAAGGAGTTTTACCTGAGTGCTTACAGAGCTGGATATAAGAAGAACACCAGCATTTGTTTGACTGTCCTACATTTGAATCCAGTAAATGCAACAGAGGCATTACTGGTTGAATTTCTCTAGTGCTCTTATGTGTCAGTGATGCATAGTCCAGGTTTCACTTCAGTACAGTTGTACTGACAACTGTTGTGTACCCTAGGACTTATGTTGATTTGAGGAGGACTTTGCTGTCAAATACTCAGTGATGAAGTTGGTAGAAGGCCGAGCTGGTGCAACTGATCCTGTGTTGCATCGTCTCATCAATGGTGGCCTCTTGAGGAATGACTGCTAAGGCATGGGCAGTGCTCAATATGTTTCAGAGTTTCTCCTTCAACTTACATGGGAGGTTGAATATATGACCAGGTCTAGGTTACGATTTTTGTTCTGGCAACATTCAGGGATAGACCAAGTCTCTTGTATGCAAGTCTCTTTAATGAGATCAAGCATGGTTTGTGAATCTGATACACAGTGGGAAACAACACTGCAGTTATCTCCATGCTGTAGGTCATGTAGATGTGGTTGTCAGTGTAGGTTGGCACAGAGGTGGCTGAAGTTAAAGTTTTCAATCCAAGTGAAATTTAATACTTAGAGCAGATGATGGTTGATTTTTAAGACAAATAATCATGATCAGATTGTAAATATTATGGGAACTACCAGATGGCCTCTCTGGTCACCAGTCTAGATTTTGATGGCATCTATTTCTGATCTCTCACTCAAAACAGTCGCAGTCATAACATCATGAAGCAGTTGCAGGGAATTATGAAGTTTTAGACACCCAAATCTCTGACCTAATCAAGACCCTGCCCTCATGTTTACATGAAGTAGAATGTTAGAGGCAGTCAGGGTGGTTTTGGAATAATTAAGCAATGATGCAACAAATGCAAGAATGAGTTTCAGCAGCAAATGAGCTGAGACAGGGCGACTGAATAATTTTATAGAATTGGAAATAGTGATGGTGCAAATACACCCATATGGTTGCACATACTGGGGGCACATTGCCCCAAGGTTGTGAAAAGTCTGGTTCAATTTTTGATATTTGCCAGGAGACATATTCAGAAGGAGTTGAGAAGTTGTGGTGGCATACAGTAGGGTGTCACCAGTGTATGTGTGAAAACGAATACTGCTTTGAGGTCATGTCACCAAGGGTCAACAAGTGGATGTGGGTCAAGGAAAAGTCCGTGAGGGAACACCAGAGGTAACAGTGCAGGAGCAGGAAGAGAAACCATTCTAACTGATTCTCGAGCCATGATCAGATAGATAAGAATGGAACCAGGCAAGTATAGCGCTATTCAATTGGATGGCAGTAGATAGGCATTGAAGGAGGATGATGTGGTCAATTGTGTCAAAATCAAAGTCAAAATGGATTAGAAGAATAATTTACCTTGGTCACAGTCACATAAGATGTCATTTGTTATTTTCGTAAGAGCCATTTGCTATTGTGGGGTGAAAGGAAACCTGATTGGAGGGATTCAAACACTGAATTAAACTAGAAAATTCTGTTAAAACTCATGCAGTAGCTATGGAGAGAGATACAGTTAGTGTTTCAGGTTTGTGATTTTTCACCAGTTCTGGTGAGGCATGAAGATTGGTGAGAAAGTAGGATGAAGTGATTTGTGTTGCTGTTCACGATGAGGTAGTGCCAAGTGCTTGAATGAGACCTTCCAAGTACGCCTAGAGAAGCACAGAGCACTTATCATACAAGTGAATTCTGGTACATTGGAGGAGCAGGTCGGTGAGGAATGCAGGTAACTCCAGCAGTACTGCAGAGTTGAAGCAGGGAATTGGGAAGGCGGAATACCTCAGAATGGGGAAGTGAAACATGGCATGACAAAAGGAGATGGGTCAGGGAGTGGGTTGAGGAAAAGGAAAAAAAGTAACCGGATGTGATGTGCTCACGTCTGTCGTGACAGTCAAAATACCTATGTGCATAGACAGGGAAAGCTCAAGTTTTAATGGCCTAGTTAAATAAAAATCAGAATACATAAAGGCTGAAGATTTATAGGAAATAGATAGGAGATAACAGGAAGAAGTTCAGAGTTAAAATCAAACATTTTGAAATGAGTTATTGATGGAATAGACCGGATGGAAACATCAATAAGGTGTTATCTGTGTTTGAAGACAGGTGAAGCTAGCGATGTCCAGAAGCTGTTGGAAGGTAGAATATCAGGGGACACACTGAGGTATTTTTGTGAAAACAAGGATTCAGGAGGTGTTGAGTCCCTTGTAGAAGCGGAAAGATGATGGCAAAGTTGTAAAATCCAGAAGTAGCAGGGGTTTGCTCTTTGGCTAGTGCTGTAAACTGATCAAATTTACCCATACTATTTGTATGCATCTTTGATGCCAATAATTTATCCCCATCATTCCCTCTCCCATGAAATGGTAGCAGCTGCAATATCATTCAAAGTTCGGAGTGACTCTGTTATTGTACTTACTTCTTAGTTCTCTCAAAGAGTTGTAGGTTCAAGTCCAGTTTCTTGAAGCGGCCCTATAGCCATTCTTGAGACCCAATTTAAACAGATGTGAACTCTATTGAAGTAATTTCCTTTTACCTTTTTTGTAACTCAAAATGGCACCAGATCGTGGCAATGAAACACTTTTCACTGCATCTTCCTAGATTTGGAAATCATAGAATCATAGAATCCCTACAATGTGGAAACAGGCCATTCGGCCCAACAAGTCCACACCGACCCTCCAAACAGCATCCCACCCTGACTCATCCCCTTCCCCTGTCCCTGTAACCCTGGACCCTAATCTACACATCCCTGGACAATATGGGCAATTTAACACGACCCGATCCACCTAACTTGCACATCTTTGGACTGTGGGAGGAAACCGGAGCATCCGGTAGAAACCCACGCAGACGCAGGGAGAATGTGCAAGCTCTACGCAGACAGTCAGTTGCCTAAGGGTGGAATCGAACCCAGGTCCCTGGCGCTGTGACAATAAAAATCATTCATTCATGTTGATACCTCTATATTGTACGAAGTGCATTATTAATGGCGAGAATACACTGCTTGGTGGGATCAAAACTTACTAAATTGTCTTAGTCCAATGTTTAACAGCAAGAAATAGTGTCTTATACAGAACTTAAAAAAAACCAAAAGAACTGCGGATGCTGTAAATCAGGAACAAAAGCAAAGTCACCGGACCAGAAACGTTAACTCTGTTTTCTCCTCCACAGATGCTGCCAGACCTGCTGAGCTTTTCCAGCAACTTTTTGTTCTTAAATGTCTTGAAGCAATCTTAATAAGACAGAGGCAGAGAAAGGGTTAATAAAGATGGTGGTGAGGCAGTGCTGGATGTAATCGATGTACATATAGAAACTGGGCCTATGCTGCATGAGAATAGGGCAAGAGGTTTGAAAATGAGGCAGTGTTTTGAATTGTCAATGGCGATTTTTAACAGCTGAGAGGGGAAGGAATAATCTGAGACCAAGTGGAAGGATGGGTAGGTGATCAGCAGTTTAGTAACAGAGAGTGAAGGCAGCAAGCACAGACAGCTCCAAACTCCAGCTGGATCCAGAACCATTCTGCGTTTTTCACAAGGTACGGAATTTCCGGATGCTCCCTTGTGAGGATGACCAGCAAGGGCAGGACCCGGAAGTAAAACTAAAGTAGTACCCGGCAAAAAAAAAGTCGTGACCCGGAGCCGGAAGTAAGTTGTTAGCCTGAGTAAGATGGCGGACGCGGAGGAGGATTTGCTGCTTTTCAGTGTCAGTGACCTGCCGGTTCGCGGGTACAGCCTGATGGAGGAGATCCGGCGCCAGGGTAAACTCTGCGACGTGACCCTACGGGTAAGGCCCGGGAGTCCGAGCGGAGGAGCTGGAATCCTCCCAGACCCTCCCTCACTAACCCCATACTGGCTTGGTGTTTGGGTGCTTCATAATGACTCGTGGGTGTTAAATAATTCGGCCTTTTGCAGGTTGGTGACCACAAGTACACGGCGCATCGCATTGTGCTGGCTGCATCTATTCCGTACTTCCATGCCATGTTTACAAATGATATGATCGAATGCAAGCAGGATGAGATTGTTATGCAGGGAATGGACCCCAGGTAGGAAGAATTTTACATCATACTTTCTGAGATTACGGATACTGAGTTATTCTCATTTATTTTGTCGCTTCTTATTCTGCGCAACGTCAGTGTTTCCTGGGGGAAGGGGGAGTTGCTCCATCTGCAAAGATAATATTCTTTGGGCAGTGTTTGAAACGATGTGGTTTAGGTGGGTTTTAAATATCCTGTGGCACTGTTTGAACACCGTGGTAGCTTGTTCTAATGTTGCTTCTCATCCACCAAAACAAATGAAAGTACCTCTGTAGTATTTGTGAAATGCACTGGTACACAATGGTTTTCTTTGTCACTGAATTAAAGGAGAAATATTTTAATATATGACATGTTCTGTATTTTTTAGGAATAGATATTAAGGGATATGAACTAAAGGCAGGTAGGTCACAGGCCACAGATCAGCCATAATTTCATTGAATGGTGGAACAAACATGAGGGGCTGAATGGCTTACTCTTGTAGCTAAGCTCTGAAGTTAAACATTAGCACGAGCCAGTACTTGTAGGGAATAAAGAAGATGACCAATGTCTTGCCAGTGAATATGGATTAAATGATTGTATTGAAGGCAGTGCAGAACCCCAGTCATGAGGTGAGTGAGACCGTGCTTACAACAAAGCATTGATGGGATTTTTGTCATTTTTGTGCAGCTTTGAGAAACATTAGGATGATAAGTTCTGAAATGAGTCTGTCTTGTCCTTTCACAGTGCTTTGGAAGCGCTTATTAACTTCGCCTATAATGGCCGGCTGGCAATAGACCAGCAGAATGTGCAGTCGCTGCTAATCGGTGCCAGTTTCTTGCAGCTCCAGAATGTGAAGGATGTGTGCTGCACCTTCCTGAGAGAGCGGTGAGTGTTGGGTGTGGTGGAGAAAAATGCAATCATAATTCAAAAGTATTGCTTCCAGACTTCAGTATGTCAAAACAGTGCCCACAGGCCAGGGACGGTCCAATCTTGAGAGAACTGATCCCAAGATGAAGTGAAATTTGACCATTATTATTCCTTGGTCTCAGGAAGAGAACGAGACAAGCTAGAGTTCTGTTTTCTGATTGTCCTGGTGATTCCTGCTGAAATGTTTATCTAATTGGATGTTAATGGAGGGCAGGATTCAGCTTAGCTATGGATGCGCCAGAGGTTTAATGACGTCCTGATACTTGAATAAATGGGGATTGAACTGTGTTGCGAGACTAGCTAATGCAAACTATTGGGAAAGGTATTTCAGGGGTGTTTAAATCTAGAACTGAACCCTATCACAAGTCTGTACCTTCACTACCAGTGACTTGAAAACTAATCTGGAGTGGAAGATTGCACTGGTTAGACTGTATACAGTACTATGGCATTAATGTGATTGTGGTGATAAGAGTGAAGAAAGTAATTGGCCCTCTGGTACAAAACTGCACAGATCAGGAGGGTTTTTGGTTTCAGTCCCAGAATCTGCTCTCAATGAGCAGAGCTGTCTGAATGTCTCAGTACAATAAGAAGAAAGCAAGTGTTTCCTCTGCTAGGGAATATCTTTAAAAATGAGAGCTGGGCTTTTCAGGAGGGGAATCAAGAACAATTACTTCGTTCAATGGTGGCAAAAATTTGGAACACCTCCCTCTTAAATACTGATTCAATTTAAGTTTGTCTTACTAATGTTAATACAAAAAGTCATATTGGACTCAATGATAACTTTGTTTCTCTCAAAATATGCTGTGAGACCTATTGAGCTTCTCCAGCATTTTGTACTTTGATTTCATATTTTAACACTGAGTTGGTGTTGCAGTTTCTTCAATTATGTTTGGCTTGTTGCTAACTCCTGTATTAATGCATAATAACGCAATCTGTTTCTAATGACCTTCCAGTATTGAAAGATTTATTGACAACATTTAAAAGGCGTTTGGACGAATACATGAATTGGAAAGGTTTAGGAAGATATGGGCCAAGTGCAGGGAAATGCGGTTAGAGTGGATGAATATTTTGGTCAGCATGGACCAGTTTGGGCCAAAGACCCTATCTTGGAGCTGTAGGACTCTATGACTCTGAGTAGTCATAGTGATCAATTCCAACTTGTTAGAAATTTTGCAGTAACAAGTGTCTTTTGTTACCCTCCTCACTTTTCTAGACTACATCCTAAAAACTGCCTGGGAGTGCGTCAGTTTGCAGAGACAATGATGTGTACTGTTCTTTATGATGCATCCAACAGTTTCATCCACCAACACTTTGTGGAAGTATCCATGTCTGAGGAGTTCCTTGTATTGCCCTTTGAGGAGGTGTTCGAGCTTGTTGCTCGAGATGAGCTCAATGTGAAGTCTGAAGAACAGGTACGAGGGGTTTACAGTGAGCCTGTGGGATTGGGTGAGTTGGTAATGAGAGTAGAGGAAAGTTGTTTACATTGAGAGTATTAGGTATCATGGTCTTGTTTTTTATAAGTAAGAAACATGGACTGGATTATTCCCAATCTTTCCTGAAAACACTGAATTTTCAGTTACTGTTGGTCACATCATTGACCATCAACAACATCACAGCCTGAGACTATTCTGTAGCCTTATGAAAATTTTATAATGTTACTTTGTTTTCGAATACTGCACTTAAAAATAGCAACTGCAAGACCTTTCTGATAACAAAAAAAAATGTATAGGAGGAATGGAATGGGAATAGCATAGGAAGAAGAGGGAATGACCGAGAAATGATAGAATGAATGAAAGGAATGAAGTTCTATCAGAATGAGAGGCATAGCATGGGATGGAATTTAAATAAGTTCTGTTATGATTTTAAATTTCCAAAACTGCCTTGATTTGGGAAGGTCCGTTAAATTGGAAGATAGCAAATGTCATTCCTTTATTAAAAAGGGGAAGGAAGCAAAAAGCACAACATTGCTTAAGTTAGCTTAACATCTTTCAAAATAAACTTCCAAAATTTTCCTTAATAAAGAGGTTATAGCAGGGTATTTGGAAAAGTTAAAGGAAATTGGGCCACATCAACATTATTTGGTGGAAGGGAAATTACTTTTAGCCAATCTGTTTTTTGACAAAGGAACATGTGATGTCTACAAAATTAACTGTTGATGTACTGCACTTATATTTCCAGAAGGCATTTGATAAAGTGCCACATTAAGGATTAACGTGAAAAATTAAAGCTTACGGCATAGCGGATAACATGTTGGCTTGATATAAAATTGTCTGGCTAAAAGGAAGTAGAAAGTAGACATTAATGGATGTTTTTTAGGTTAACAAGATGTAATAAGTTGTGCTACAGGGTTTGGTGCTGGGACCTCCAATTAATTATAGTTTATATAAGTGGATGAAGGTCATATTTGCTGATGACGCAAAGATAGGTAGGAAAGTAAGTTGTGAAGAGGATACGAAAAGATTGTGGGTGGGCAAAGATACGACAAATGGAGTATAATGTATGAAAATATGTAATTGTTTGTTTTGACATAATAAAAAAGTCTGTTACCTAAATGGTGAGAGATTGCACAGATCTGAGATGCAGAGGAATGTGAGTGTCCTAATGCGTGAATCAAAGTTTAGTATGCAGGTACATCATATAAATAAGAAAGGTAATAGAATGTATCCATTCATTGTGAGCAGAATTGAATACAAAAGTAGAGATGTTATGCCTCTGTTACATGGGGTCAGAACAGTGTCAAATCTAGAGTACTGAGTACAGTATTGGTCTCCTTATTTAAGGAAGATTGTAAATGCATTGGAAGACTTTCAGGAAAGGTTTACCAGACTAATAATATAGGATGAATGTCTTGTTGTATGAGGAAAATCTGTACTGGCCAGACTTGCAGAAGTCTAAAAGAGTAAGAAGCAGATTGATTGATTGAAAAACATAAGATCCTGACAGATCTTAACTGAGTTCATTATAGAAAGGATGTTTATCCATGTGGGTGAATCTAGAACTAGGGGTAACTATTTAAAAATAAGGTGTCACCTATGTAAGACAGAGATGAGGAAGCATTGTTTTCTTGAAGATGGCTGAGTGTATTTGAAACTCTTACTCGAAAGGTGGTGAAAGCAATGTCTTTGAATGTTTTTAAGGCAGAGGTAATTAGATTCCTGATAAACAACTGGTTAGGTGGGAATGTGGAGTAATCAGATCTCATTAAATGGTGGAGCAAGCTTGTGGAACCGCAAGACCTTTTCCTACTCTTAATTCCTACGTTTCTGTGTTCCCTTTGCCAGGTATTTGAGGCGGTTCTTGCTTGGGTACGATTTGATCGGGAGAACCGTGAGGAGTACCTGTCTCAGCTGCTAACCAGAGTGCGCCTGCCTCTCTGTCGACCACAATTCCTAACAGACAGGGTTCAGCAGGATGATTTAGTTCGCTGCTGCCACAAGTGCAGGTTAGATGGGTGGGATGTCATGGTAATTCCCCTACAACGTTCCTCAACAGAAAACAAGATGTAGCTTGACTGACGGACAGCCCTGTATCATTGATTTAAAACTGATTATTTTTGCCAACAGATGCTGCCTGACCTGCTGAGTATTTTTAGCAATTTCTCTTTTTATCTGTGGATTGTGAGGAGGTGTGGATAGTTGCAGCAGAAGAGCAGTGGAAGAGTGTGACAAGTCTGGTGAAGCGAAAGCATCCATGGACAAGATGTGGTGAAAGAAAGCAGGTAGCCCCAGAGGGTGAGACAGCCATGATGGCCATGTCAATAAGGGCTTCTTATACTAAGTTGCAGCCTGCATCTCCTCCACTTTCAGTGGTTCTTGTGCAGGCAACCTCCAATAACAGCACTTAATCTCAAGGTAAAAACCTGAGCGTGTAATCCCGACTGAAGTCTCAGTGGAACAAAAATGGAGGGCTTCACTGGCTGAGCTGCTGCCTTCCAGATGAAATATCAAACCAAATTAGAGCTATTTTTTTTTCGGGTATTTTAACCAATATTAATGCCTAGATCTTTAAAACAGATTATTTGGTTGTTACTTCATTGTATGTGGGAACTTACTGTGCTCAAATTGGCTGCCACATTTGTACTTTGAGATTGCATAATTTGTTGTCTACATTTGGGAAATCCTGAGTCGTGAAAGGTTCTGTAGATGTTTTAATCAACTGTTTGGTCACATCTCAGACGGGTGGGATGTGAACTTGGGCTTTCTGGCCCAGGGCCAGGACCTTACTACTCTACTATTACTACCGTTAAAATTCAAGTTCCTGAGCTGCAGTGAAGCTCAATGGACTTGAAGAGGTTTGAGCAAACAACGTTCCGATCTGGCTGCACTACTGTTTCAACAGACCCTTGAAAGATTCTATGTGATTGCAACTTTATCTTTCTTTTGTGATCTTGTTTAATTAGTGACTAGGGACTGTTTGATACATTGACTCTGAATAGTGAATGAAAAGCCTACCTTTTATTTCTTGATGCTGAGTAAGTTGAACTTCATGGGCTAAGGAAAGTAAGTAGTGGAGGAACAGCCAGAGTTCCTGTTCCGCACTGCCATCTATTCATAGCTGCTGGAAAGTGCTTTGCATGGGGTTGTTAAGGCCCACATTGGCCTCATCTGTGATTCTGCCTTTCCTGGTGATGGTCATTAGATGGCAACACTTGTAGTTGTTTATGATGTGCCACGGTCACTTGTCGTGAGTTTGAGTTAATGGAGACGAAAGATTCTGAAAATTGGAGAGTTGCTTGTTTGTGAATTTCAGGACTGCACATTTTGTTTTTCAGGGACCTTGTTGACGAGGCAAAGGACTATCACCTAATGCCTGAGCGTCGTCCTCACCTGCCATCCTTCAAGACCCGGCCACGATGCTGCACCTCCATTGCTGGCTTGATCTACGCAGTAGGAGGCCTCAATTCTGCCGGTGTGTTGACCCAGGGTGTCCAAATGGTGTGGGCTAGGCCAACACTTTTAAAGGAGAAAATAGGGGAGAGTTATTGCATACTAAAAGTAATTGTTTTCATGTGAGAAAGGCCTTCAGTGAGCTGCAAATAAGCCATTCTCTCAATGCACTGTACAATGAGGGTAATTTTCACTAGATGGCCCTTAAGGAAACTCTGCCAATACCTCTCCTTCACTTCAGTTTCCTAGCAAATTGTGTGGTTTACCTGATTGAGTTCAGTGCTCCACAAGTCTTGAACATGTACACTTTTCTGCAGGTGAAAAGTATGTAAGGAAAGAGGCACTGAAATTTTGAAGTAAAAATAACTACCAGGGTTCGAATTGTTAGGTCTCAGACCATGTATTCATTTGTTGCTTCTCAATTTCCTTCCTTGTTCTAGAAGTAATTAGCCTTGCACTCCCACACACATCTATCCACTGGGTCAGGGCAGTACTTTGTAACCAGTGGGCTCAGTGTTCAATCCAAGCTTCAGCGGTAACTGATTCCAGTCAAGGAACTAATTTTCTTCAGTGCTCCGCATGTGTGGTTAGGAAAATCACTGTCTGCTCCTGTATGTGTGTTTTATAACAGGGGCTCCTGAGTGTGGGAGACGAATGAAGCAAGGCTGTGATGCACTTTAAAGGGCATGGCCCTGAGATATCTGCTGCTGAGACTCATTCTTCATGAATAAGGTAGTGGTAGAGGCGCTGCTCATACTCCAGTATCTGACCAAGGGCTCTGCCTCCATGACTGAGAGTCAAGGGAAAGATTGAATTGGGAAAGATTTGAAAAAAAAAATTTAACCTATGGTTGGTTGGCATTAGTATGTTATTAGAAAGGAAATACATTGTGCATCTCAATGTACTGCCACTGAATTCAGTGGGGCCCACAACACTTCCACCTTCACTGTTAGCTTTATCTATTAAAGGAAAGCTGTCAACTTGGGGCAAACCTAAACAGTAATTTGCTTTCCCAGTGGATATATTACTTCATATTCTGACCCCTGACCCCATTCATGCTTGTGACTAGACGTTTACTAGAATTTACAAATTTGGTGGAGCTACAACTGAACAGTTAAGACATTGATGCACTGTCTAACATTTAGAGAGCTGTTACAGGTGTGTACTACAGATTCTCCCACTCTAACTGCCCCTCCCACCATGTTTCACTACGCAGGTGACTCTTTGAACGTTGCAGAAGTGTTTGATCCCATTGCCAATCGATGGGAGCGGTGTCAGGAGATGACGACCTCTCGGAGTCGTGTGGGTGTGGCCATGGTCAACGGGCTGTTGTATGCGATAGGTGGGTTCGATGGGCAATCAAGGTTAAACACAGTGGAAGTTTACAACCCAGAGACAGACAAGTGGACCAAAGTGGCCAGCATGAACAGTAAACGCAGGTAGGGCTGTTTGGGCAATGCCAAACCTACATTTGCCATCTCCTTTCTTTCCCATTGTATTCTATCTCCTCAGTCCACCCTTTTTTATCTCCCCACCTGCTACCCAATACTTAGCATTGCTGGATATATACACTTCATCAAGCTTTACATCTTGCTAATTCAAATGTAAAACCACCATTTATACTGCACTAGAGGAGAGTGCTGCTCGGTTGGCAAGTGGACTCTGATCGGTAAAAGCTTGCCATGAAGAAAACACCCATTAATAGAGTCACAAATTCATACAGCACGGAAACCTACCCTTTGATCTAATTCGTCTATGCCGACCAGATATCCCCTGTGCCAGCATTTGGCCCATATCCCTCTTAAACCCGAGCTGTTCATATGCCCATCCAGATGCCTTCTAAACGTTGTCACTGTACCAGGCTCCACCACTTCCTCTGGCAGCTCATTCCATACACACACCACCCTCTGTGTGGAAAAAGTTGCCCCTTAGGTCTCTTATATATTTTTTCCTCTTACCTTTAAACCTATGCACTCTAGTTTTGGACTCCATTTCCCTGCGGAAAAATACCTTGGCTACTCACCCTACCTATGCCCCTCATGATATTATAAACCTTTAATAAGGTCACCACTCAGCCTCCGGGGAATATAGCCCCAGCTTATTTAGCTTCTCCCTGTAGCTCAAACCCTCCAATCAAGGCAATGTCTTTCCAAATCTTTTCTGAGCAGTTTCATGTTAACAACATCTTTCTGATAGCAGGGAGACCAAAATTGAATGCAGAAATGTAAAAGTGGCCTAATAAATGTCATGTACGGCTGCAAAATAACATCCTAGCTCCTCTACTTGATGCACTGTCCAGTGAAGGCCAGCATGCCAAACGCCACCTTCTCCACCCTGTATACCTGCAACTCCATTTTCAAGGAATTATGCATGTGCGCCCCGAGGTAACTAACATTAAATGTACATGTCCTTACCAAAATGCAACTCATCACATTTATCTAAATTAAACTCTATCTGCCACTCCTCAGCCCATCTGTCCCTTGAGTAGATTTCCATGTGTAACTTATTCCCGGGTATTTGTTATTCTCTCCATAAACCACCCTCATTCCCTCGATTAGATTATTTGATTAGTTATTTGATGTGTAAACCACACCAAAGCCCTTGACTATACTCCTGTCTGTAACTCACTTCCTGGTAGCTGTTAGTCCGTATATAAACCACCCCAAACGTCACCATTAGATTTTAGACTGTAACTCACTCCCCTGTATATGTTATGCTAATATAAAACCCCCGAGCGCCTCGATTCATTTACAATCTGTAACTCTCCCTGTTGTGTTATGCTATATATAAACTTGCTAAGAACAATGAAATTCCAGTCTCTAAGTGAATATAAAGTAAATGGTTGAATGTTGAACTGGGAGCAGAACTAGAGAAAGCTGTAGTTTTAATTTCTGCTACATTCTGTTCTCCAACTAAGTTAGTTTTATGGAGTGCAGCGGTTCAATACATAGCTCACTACCATTTCCTCGAGCTGATAGGAACAGGCGAATCAATGTTTGCCCAGACAGTGATGCTCACATCTACGAATGAAAGAAAAAAAACCCTTTGCCCCTACAGACGAACTCAATGTGAGTCATATGCCAGGACAGCCAGATCCCTCTGTACCTCCAGAGGCCTGCAACATCTCCCTAGTTAAATTGAAGTCTCTTTATCGATTCTTCCTGACAAACATCACACTCTCCATTTTATACTGCATTGGACAAAGTTTTACCCGCTCACTTACCAACTTTACTTCGCTCAATTTGAATACCCTTATGTTGTCTTCACAAAGTATTCTCACCAATAACATGTTCACTTTTTAAATTGAAAATTGACCTGATTTGATGCCTGTTAAAATCCAAATATCCTTATGTCGTTCTCTGTTCCTTCGGTCTGTGTGTCTGCCTGTTTCTCTCTCCTCTCCTGGAATATCTCTTCCTGACACTGATGCTGATTGATAGTTAGCTGCCAGGTTTTGTTTAAATTTTAAACCAGCCAGATTTTCTGTCTTTTGTGAGCAGTGTGGAAGATGGTAAATGGAATACAAGCAGAGATTTGCCATGATCTGATCAAATGGCTGTACCAGTTTGAAGGCTTGAATGACCTTCTCCTGTTCCCATGTGATAAAACTTACTTGTTCATTGATATTTCTGTTTCTGTGTCTCTTGCGCCAAGAAGGTTTCAGAGTGAATTCATGCTCAATACTGAGTTCAGTGGTCTCACTAAAAAGGCATGATACAAAGACCTGTCACCTTCAGCCTTCACTATCATAATGACCTGTACTGAGAAAAGGGTCTGTTTACCTGAACACCTTGGATAGAGCGTAACTAATGATTCACAGTTTGAGAAGGTGCATTCTCTGAAGGTTAAAGCATTAAATACTAATTGTGTCTGGTACAACATGACATATAAAACTTGAATCCAATTAGGATATCCACATTAATGCTGAATAAAATTCAGTTTTGTTGCTTTGCCAGTGTTGCTATTAATTATAATTGGTGCTACAGTGAAACTGTAAAGATATCCTCAGTAGAATAGTAAATGACAGTATTGTCAAATGTGCAGTATTGAACCACAGAGATTAGGATGGCCCCAAGTTACTGCTGAGTTGGTTGATATTAAGCAAGATAGTGGTTAAGCCTGGTCACTTAAGTAAAATTTAAGAAGGCATCCAGAGCTCCATATGACAGAGAGGATGGCAGTGTTGAAGAAACCCCTCTTGTTATAGCTGCACTCGTTTAATCTCCTTCATAATTTTCATACTACAATGTACAGGACATCAACAAAACCATTACTGGAGTACTGTGTCCTATGGAAGGGCATGCTTGGCCTAGTGGGGATGCAACAAAGTATCATTCGACTGGATCCTGGGATGTGGGTATAGCTGCGGGACTGCCATTAGACCCGCAGTTCAGGAAAATAAAAAATCTAATTAATCCTTGTTACATTTCTAAGGGGCTTGACAGAGCAAATATCACAGTAAATGCTGAAAGATATTTCCTTATCTGGGGAATCTAGAATCTGGACTGACAGAATCTGAATAAAGGATTGGCCATTTAGGATTCATATATGAGCAGAAATTTCTCCATTCAGTTGTGAATCTTTGGAATTCTCTACCCCAGTGTGCTTTAGATGCAGAACATTAAGTATATTCAAGGCACGGTTCTGTAGATTTTTGAATAATGAAGGAGATGGGGAAAGTGGAGTTGTGATTGTAATGAATGGGGGAGCAGGTTTGGAGGGCCAAATGTCTAGTCTTGCTTCTGTTTTATTTCTGTAAACTGATCCATATTGTGTTGCCTTGTACATGGCAAAGAATCACATGGTTATTTGCACAGATCGATTTAGTGAATTGTGAGAAAGGATTATAGAGAGTTGGGATCGTAAGCTTGAATGAAGGTGGCTAACTGGTGATCTTATAAAGGAATAGAAGATAATAAATGAAAAAGGAAAGGTAAATCTGGAACACTAATTTAACTGTGACAAGCAAAAGAGTACAGCTTCAAATCAGTGAAGAGTAAATTAAGACTGATGTCAAGAAATTCTTTAGCCAGTGATCCAACAGCTGGGATGGACTCCATGTAAAACATTTGGATGGTCTGACCTTGGTACAGTTTAACAAATGGCTAAATTGAGGTGGAGTACCTGGGTGGATATATCATTCAAGTTCATTTATACAATGAAAAATCTGTTTTTCTTCCATCATGTGAATGGACACTGTTTAATGGAATGAGTTCTACAACAACTATCTCAACTTGTCTCTGTCTCAGTGCAATGGGAACAGCTGTCATGGATGGACACATCTATGTTTGTGGTGGGTATGATGGAATCTCCTCCCTCAACTCTGTGGAATGTTACAGTCCAGAAGCTGACAAGTAAGAATTGTTAATGATGTCTTTATTATTTTTATCACCGTAAATCAATCATGATGGGAGAGGAGACCTTTTCATGAAAGAATGTTGGAGATGCATGAGTAACTTGCCTAACTTTTTGTGGAAAAATATGATGGTGGGAAGGAATTGGCAGGGAGAGATGTGGATTAATGAATAAATAGATAATGATGGAATGTCGAGAATGCTGGACCTCTGTAATGGAAAAGGCTGCATCAGAACACTGAGAGAATCTACAAGAAATAGTAAAGGCTCTAACATTGTTTCGTCATCTTTGTGATGTACCAGAGACTTTAGACTTCACTATTGTAACTCATCCATGTGGGAATGCAAAAGAGTTCTGCATACTGGTCAACCTGTGATTGTTAGTGTCTAGAAATCATTGAATTTACAATGGAATAAATAAATGCTAATCTAGAATGCAATAAGTTAATTAAGGACAGATGATGTGGATTTTTAAAAAGCAAGTAGTATCTCATAAATTTAATGGAGCTGAGGCAGAAATGCTTATTGTATTTAAAAAATGCTTGTATGTCAACTTGAAGTACCCTAATGTAGGCACACAACTATTAAGAGCAAGAAATGGAATTAGATCACATCACCTTATTATGGCTCAAACATAATGGGCAGAATGGTCACCTGTGCTGTTGATTTTCAACGTTATTGCAACAGTAACTAATTTTCAAAAATGCTCCCTTCTGTGGAAAACAGTTTGGGAAATGCTAAGCTATTGGAAAAATATACAAGCTTTTTTTTAAAGAACGTTTACAGCAGGGATCGTCTCCCTTCTGCCTCACGCAAGGACCTGTTTTGGTAACTTTTATGGTTGTCCAAAAAAAAAAGAACATGCAAACGCGCACATAAATGTATGAATTAGGAGCATGAGTAGGTCATTTGGCCCCTTGTAGCTTGCCCTGCCATTCAATGGGATCATGGCTGATCTAATTGTTGCCTTAATTCCACATTCCCAGCTACCCCCAATAACCATCCACTTCCTTATCAGTCATTGTTAATTAATAATCTACTCACCACTGCCTTAAAAATATTTAAAGAACCTGCCCCTACTGTTCTCTGGGGAAGAAACCTTAAAATGTAAAAAACGTTCATCCTTCTCTCAGTCTTAAATGGGGACTTTTTTAAAGTTCTAGTGCGGTTTTAGAAGGAATAGACAGGGTAGTAGAATTTTTCATTAGGCATCTGACTCCTCAATGCAGGAACTCTGAGGTGATTAATATTAGAAGGAAGAAGTTGAAATGTGCACTAAATGGTAAAACTTTGGAAGGAGCAGAAAACTGAGGGATTGAATGTATAGAGACACAAATCTGTAGAAGTGAGGGGGTTTTAATAAACATGACATCCTGTGGGACATTGAATACAGGAGGAAAGAGAAAACACGTTGTTATTTGGATCTCATTAACTTACTTTTAAGATAAGGCCATAGAAATCGTGCAGAAATGACCTGCTTTAACACATTTCATGATCTCCAATGTCTCTGAGTATTTCACAATCAAGAATTATTTTTAAAATGTCTTTATTATAATAGAAAGAAATGAGGTGGCCACATTGTGTGTGACAATCCATCAAGTCATTACTCGATAATGAATATATGATCTTGCTTCAGGCTTAAACATTGGTTAGGCCATCAAGGAGAAGTCCGCATCTCTTTACGACCCTGTGGGATCTTTTTATACTGATCTGAGAGAGAATCTCAGTTAAATATCACATCTGGAAGATGGTATAAATGATAGTGTGGCACTTCCTCAATACTGCCTTGTGTGTCAGCCTAGACTTTGTGTTCATATTTCGAGTGTCTTGCCTTCTGACTCGGATAAGAATGATGCAAACTGAGCACAACTATTGTCAGAACAGATTCACTAAGATGATATCAATAAGAGTATACATTTAATTTGCAAAATCCCAAAGCATTCCTCAGAATCATTTAACGAAAGACTGCTAAATCTTGAGGGCTACTAAAACTTTAACCAAGACATCTGTTTTCAAATTTCTGAATGTTTTGATAAGCTGAAGAAGATTGAATTATTGGATTAATTTAACCAACTTAAAAGTAACAGCAACAATAAAGTTCAAGGAAATGATTTTACTAACCTGTTTCTCTGCCTTGGTTCCCAACAGATGGGTCTCTGTGACTCCAATGAGTGCCTGCCGCAGTGCTGCGGGGGTCACTGTGTTTGAAGGGAGGATCTACGTTTCTGGAGGGCATGATGGGCTGCAGATATTTAATACGGTAGGTTCTGGGAATCATTTGAAAACAAGCTCAAGCTGGGAATAAAGGCAACAGTGTTGTGCATGAACAATGCAACTCTAAATCCATGTGATAGCATTTCATAAGACAGCAAGCAGCTAGAGCACAGCTATGGTATATTAAATAATTTTCTCACCTTTTAATAATGCTCACTTTTGCTGTCAAGTTTTTTTGAATTCACTCGTGGAATGTGGGCGTCACCAAGCAGGTGCATGCTTAGCACTAACCTGCTCGTTGACACTTAGTTTGAATTTCATCTGTGCCACTCAGCTCCTGACTGCATTTCAGCCTTGGTTCAAAATGTGTAAAACAGCTGAATTCTAGAGATGAAGTGAAAGTGACTGACCCTGATGGTGTGATGCCACCCAAGTGGCTGATCTGTCCTGGGTGGTGCCAAGCTCTGGTGGTGTTGGGGTTTCACTAGTTCAAGTAAGTGAGGAGTATTCATCACACTCCTGAACTGTGCCTTCAGGATGGGCGATAGACTGTGAGGAGTCGAGACGAGTTACTCACTGCTGGCCTCCAAGCCTCTGACCTGATCTTACAGCCACAGTATTTACATGACTAGTCCGAGTTCAGTTTCTAGTTAATGGTAAACCCCAGGATAATGAGGGATTCCGGTAATGGAAATGTTGTTGAATGTCAAGGTACAGGGGTTAGAATCTCTTTTGTTGGAGATGGCCATAGCCAGGCTCTTATGAGGCAAATGTTACATGCCACTTCTCAGCCCAAACATGGATATTGTCCAGGTCTTGTTGCATCTGGATATGGGTTGCTTCAGTATCTGAGGAATTATGAATGGTGTTGAACATTCTTCAATCATCAGCAAACAATCCTGACTTCTGACCTTATGATGGAAAGAGAGTCATTAATGAAGGCCATGGTTGGGCCTAGGACACTCCTCTGAGCAACTCCTGCAGAGTTGTCCTGAAGCTGAAATGACTGGCTTTCAAGAATCACAATTACCTTCCTTTTCTGCCTTATATGACTTTAACCAGCAGAAAGTTGACCCCCTGTCTCCCATTGGTTTTGAGGGTTCTTTGCTGCACTCAGTCAAATGTCAGCTTGATGTCAAGGGCTGTCACACTCTCCTCACCCCTCGAATTTAGCTCTTTTGTACATTTTTAACCCAAGGCTCTATTAAGGTCAGAAGCTGAGTGGCCCAGGTGGAATCCAAACTGAGCATCAATGAGCGGTTCATTGTAAGTAAGTGCCACTTGATATCACTGACACCTTCCATCACTTTACTGATGATTGAGATTAGATTGATGGGATGGTAATTGGCTAGGATGGATTTGTCCTACTTTTTGTCTACAGGGCATACCTAAACAATTTTCCATATTGAGTAGGTTCTGTACTGGAACGGCTTGGTTAGGGGTGTGACAAGATCATGAGGCCTTCAAAGACTTTTGTTGGCATGTTGTCAGACTCCATGGCCTTTGTAGTATCCAGTGTCTCCGACCATTTCTTGATACCATGTGGAGTGGATCTATTTGGCTGAAGACTTGTTTTTATGTTCCTGATGACCTCTGGAAAAGGCCAAGATGGATCATTCACTTGGCACTTCAGGCTGGCGATTGTTGTGAATGCTTCAGCTTTATCTTGTGCAATGACGTATTGGTCTCTTCCATCATTTAGGATGGGGATATTTGTGAAACTTCCTGCTCCAATGAGTTGTTTAATTGTCCGCCACTATTCTCACCGAGATGTGATCTGGAATTAAACGTCCAATGGTGACTGAGTCCCATTGTCGATTGTCATAAAAACCCATCTGGTTCACTAATGTCCTTTCGGGAAAGAAACCGCCATCCTTACCTGGTCTGGCCTACCTGTGACTCCAGATCCACAGCAATGTGGTTGACTCCTAACTGCCCTCTGGGCAATTAGGGATGGGTAATAAATGCTGCCTAGCCAGTGACGCCCTCATCCCATGAATGAATAAAAAAAATGTGGCAGAGCTGCAGATTTTAGATCTGATTTGTCGTTGTGGAATCCCTTATCTCTGTCTATCACTTAACATGACATACTGCTTGGTAAGTGATTGATCAGGATCTGGCCAAGGTAGACTGGGAACAGTTACTTCTGTGTAAATATTAAGTAGAATAGTTAGTTATAGATTCATAGAGCCATACAGCATGTTGGCAGGGTTGGGGGTGGGCCGTATTCAAAATGGGATTGGTGAGCACAAAAGCCAAGAATGCTCCCTTCAGGTGAAATGTAGGAGCAACAAGCCTAGGCATATTCAGACTTGGTAAGAAGGAAAGATTTTTAACAGGTACAATGGGTGCAAATCAACTGAAGCTCTAGACAAGTATAGAAAGTGCAGAGGAAAACTTAAAGCAATTAGAAAAGCAAACAGCGATCATGACAAAACAATGACAGGCAAGATTAGGGAGAATCCCAAGATATTCCAAACATATCAAGGGGAAGAGGATAACCAGAGAGAGTCAGGACCATTGGGTACCAAGGGTTCGATCTGAGCCAGAGAACATTGTTAGTGTGTTAAATGAATACTTCACTTCTGTCTTTACTTTGGAGAAGGAGGATGTAGATACAGAATTTGGGAATAGGAACTGAGGCTCTAGGTCAGTTTTGAAATAGGAAGAGGTATTGGAGGTTTGGCAGGATTAAAAATGGGCAGATCCCCAGGTCTAGATGAGTTGTATCCCAGACTGCTGCAGGAGATGAGTGGAAATTATAGGGCCTATGACGCAAGTTTTTGTTTCCTGTCTGGCCGTGGGAGGTGCCAGAGGACTGATTAAGTCATTGCATTAGAGCCCACGGTATGGGAGGTGGTATATTGGCATGGATAGAGAAATGGCTCATGGGCAGGAAACATTGAATCGGGGGTTAAGGAGTTCTTTTTTAGGTTGGCAACCTATGATTAGTGGGGTTCCACAGGGCTCAGTGCTGGGATTACGACTGTGTACAATATATACTGACAGCTTGAAGGAAGGAAGCAAATGTGCTACAGCTAAATTTGCAAACGACACAAAAATATGTAGAAAGGTTGTGAGAGGGATACAAACCAAAAGAACTCTGGATGCTGTAAATCAGGAACAAAAACAGAAGTTGCTGGAAAAGCTCAGCAGGTCTGGCAGCATCTGTGAAGAAAAGATCAGTTAACGTTTTGGGTCTGGTGACCCTGCGTGAGAGGGATACAAACAGTTTATAGAGAAGTATTAATAGGTTAAGGAAGTGGGCAAAAACTTGGTAAGTGGAATACAATGTTGGGAAATGCAAACCTGTTTATTTTGATAGGGAGAACAAAAGAACAGAATATTATTTAAATGGAGAAAAACAGCAGAAAGCTGCAACATAAAGGAACTTGGGGGTGCTTGTGCATGAAACACAAAGCTATCACAGGTGCAGCAGGTAATTAGGAAGGCAAATGAAATCTTGGCTCTTATTTCAATGGGGTTGAAGTATAAGAGTAGGGAGTGCCTCATTGCAACTGTTTAAGGTGCTGGTGAGACCATGGAGTACTGAGTGGTTTCGTCCCTTTCTTAAGGAAAAATATCATTTCATTGGAGGCAGTTGAAGGAAGGTTTGCGAGGATACGAAGGAATTGTTTTATGAGCAAAGGTTAAACAGATTTGGACTGTATTCACTGGAGTTTAGAAGAATGAGAGGTGATCTCAATGAAACATATAGGATTCTTAAGCGGTAAATGCTGAGAGGGTGTCTCTCCTCATGGGAGCAGCTAGGACCAGAGGGCATGGTCACAGATGAAGGGGCACCGATGTAAGACTGATGAGAAGGAATTTCTCCTCTCAGAACGTTGAGTGTCTTTGGAACTCCTTGCCACAGAGCTATGCGGGCAGAGTCCTTGTGTATATTTAAGACTGAGGAAGATTCTTGATCAGTGGGGGAGTCGAGGGTTACAGGAAAAGCACAGTAAAATGAACATGAGGAATGTCAGATCAGCCATGATCCTGTTGAATGATGGAGCAGGCTCGAGGGCGGAAAGGCTTGCTCCTGTTACTATTTCTTATGGTCTTGTGGATAGGAGGACAGCTAATATGATGATTAGAGTAGTAAAGATAAACCAGTGAATTACTGATCAGTGAGTCACATCACTGGTTAGGAAACTATTGGCGATAATGCTGAAGCAGAAAATTAATCTCCAATTGGAGAGGCAAGGTTTGATCAGGATAGTCAGCACAGCTTTGTCAGAGGGGAAGTCATGCCTAGCCAATTGATTGAATTTTTGAGGTGTCAGAGAGGATAGTGCAGTTGATATAGTGTATGTGGATTTCATCAAAGCCCAAGGTCGAACTGATAAAGAAGGTAATAAATGTGGGATCCAGGGTAACTTGGCAAGATGTATTCAAAATTGGCTTAGTGGTGGTAGAAGGAGGAGTGGTGATGGAAGGTTGTTTGGGTGACTGGAGGCCAGTGTCCAGGGGCATACCACAGGATCAGTGCTGGGTCCGTTATTGTTTGTGCTGTATGTAAACGATATAGAAGGAAATTAGGGGTGTGTTAATAAGTTTGTGGATAACACCAAGTTTGGCTGGGTGGCTGACAGTGAGAAAGAAGTCTTAGGTTACAGGAGGATATAGACTAATTGGGCAGATCAGTGGCAGATGGAATTTAATCCTAATAAATGTGAGGTAGTGCACTTTGAAAGAAGTAACAAGACAAGGGCCTACTCCATGACTGGCAGGACACTAGGAAGCTCAGGAATAGAGGGATTTTGGGATGCTTGTCTACAGATCCTTGAAGGTGGCAGGACAGGTTAATGTAGTTAAGGCATATAGGAAACTTGCCTTTATCGGTTGTGGCATAGATTATGAGAGCAGGGAGGCATTGATGAAGCTGTACAGGACTTTGGTTAGGCCACAGCTGCAGTACAGTGTGCAAATTTGATCACTGCACTCTCAGAAGGATGTGATTGCACTGGCAGGGTGCAGAGGAGATTCATCAGTATATTGCCTGGGATGTGCAGTTTAGCTATGAAGAGAGGCTGGATGAGTTGGATTGTTTTCTTTAGAGTAGAGAAGGCTGTGAAGGACCTGATGAGATGTATAAGATTGTGAGGTCCAGTTTTGTAGCTTCACTAGGCTGACACCTCCATTTTAGATAGGGGATTAATGCCAATCCTAGCATGCCCTCCTGCACTCTTCTTTGAACCAAGGTTGATCCCCTGGTTTGATAGTAATATTAGAGTGGAGCATATACTGCAGCAAGTCAAAGATTTTCTGGCATTAACTCCCAAACACTCAATCTTCAAAAACTAAAAGTTGGGACAAGTAGATGCACAAAAGCAGCATCACCTTCAAGGTGCATACATCCTGATTCGAATGTGTATCACCTTCATAGCTGCTGGAATAAAATCCCAGAACACATTGCTTAACTATTTGAGAAAAGAGACCTATAACTACCATCTTCCTGTGGGAAACTAAGGAAAAGCAATGATTGCTAGTCTCATTGTCAGCTTAGACATCCCAGAAGTAAATGTAAAAACTCTACCTAGATGTATGTGAGATTCTCCACACAAGGGGACCCTTTGTGCAGGCTAATGATCTGGGTAACGAGTTCTAGTCGCGCTCTAGCTTAATCTAGTTGGGCACAGTAAGATGGGCCAAATGACATTTGCTTGCTGTAATTTTGTTCTTAAATTCACTTTTTTTGTTTGGAAACAGGTTGAATGTTATAATCATCACACCACTACCTGGTACCCGGTGCCAAGTATGCTGAATAAACGTTGTCGCCATGGGGCCGCATCACTAGGCAGCCAACTGTACGTCTGCGGTGGTTACGATGGCTCGGGTTTCTTGAGTATTGTGGAAGTTTACAATTCTTCTTCAGATCAGTGGTATCCGCTTGTTCCTATGAACACTCGCCGCAGCCGGGTGTCTCTCGTTTCAAGCTGTGGCCGCCTCTATGCTATCGGTGGCTATGACGGACAGTACAACTTGAACTCCATGGAGATGTATGACGTTGACACAAACCGCTGGACGTTTATGGCCCCCATGGTGTGTCATGAAGGTGGAGTTGGTGTAGGGTGCATCCCCCTCCTCAGCGTGTAAGACGGTCATTGTTCCTCTAGTCGGAAGTCTAGCATTTAGAGGAGATGTGGAAACAATGGTATATTTATGGGAACAACAAACAAACCCTAGTTTTCAGTGCCCGTTGATTGTTGTCTGTGGCCAAAGATGATGCAGTAACAGCTGCATCTTTCCAACAGAGATTGGTAACTTATCAGTACTCTGTCACTAACAGCAGAATCTGTGGTATTTTTAAAGGCAGCCATTTTATTAAAATTATAAGTACTTTATAAATTACACGTTTTAAAAAAAAAACCTGTTAATTTATGAATAACTTGTTCCCGTGATTACCCGAATGCAGAACAGTAGATCAATAAAAGCTAATATCGGACTAGGTGTTGCCATGAGTTAGGGACTTCCCTTTCACCATTGGCATCTAGGTTATAATGTTGAGAAATAGAGAACTGAGATACTAACAGTCCTGTTGTACAGTGTTTTGCACCTGTCCTATGCTGAACCTTTACTGTTGAGTACTTGCTGCTGGCACTGGATGGCTGCAATAGGAGTGTTCCTAGAATTAACAACCCTGTCACCTGGCTGAAAAGACAAGGTTGAGCACTGACTTCATGGCCTAGTTGGTGGCTTGTCTACCATTCCTGCAAGACTGATTAGTCACTGTGTGTATGTTCATCTTGTTACTCAGCCAAGTAGTGTGTTGAATAGAACTTTGACTTGAAAAAAAGCCAATTCTGGGATAATTGAGTGTATGAATATGGGAAGTTCTATTTGTTTTACATTTCCAGGATGGTACAATCATTCCTTGTATACATGATAGTGCAGTCTGCGACTGTTTCCAACCCAGATAAAAACACGCTTTCTGGTAATCTTTCTCCTGACCCTGGTCCTTATTCTACATTCTCTCCTTCCCCTTTACTAGTCCAAGTGCTGTTTGTCCTTTGGAGCTGATATACATAAATAGATTTTTTTTTAAAGTTTACATCAAAATGTGGGAAGACTACTTGATGGTGATGTGGGTCATTACTTATCAGTACTTTATCGAAAGTAATGGATTTCTGGGAGAGAATTACAGAATGCAATTAGTGGTTATGCCACAACTGGTGGGTATGTAAAATTTGCCTGCTGCACCATGGCGAACACACCAAGTTGTACATTTCTGCTCTTCCAAGCAACTGAAGAGAGCATTGAACTGAAAAGTGAAATGTTAGGTCGTGTAGATTTGTCACTGATGGGAGTGTGACAGAAGGAAAATATTGCACAATATTAATGTGATCTAAAGTGACATTTTATTCTTAACATTATGTTGGTAGCTACTGTATGTTTAAAAAACTATATATCGTTATTAGGTAGAAATTTAACTAGGTAGTTTGTACAGTCTGCATATAGAATAATAGACACCTAGGAGTCAGTTGGAGGATAGAATCTAACTGGATTTTTTTATACAAATAGAATAATGAATGTCCAGGATGAATTGCAAACTAGAATCTAAAAGATGATTTGGGGGGTTATATAGAATAATGGATAACATGGAGTGTGTTACAGATTGAATCCCTGTGATTAGATTCCAGTGTAACATAGCAGACATCTGCCACAGATTCGTTGACTGGCATCTAAATCAAGAGGATTCTCAGTTTATACAATCCATAGAGTATAGTGGATACCCAGAGAAATGAGCCAGAAAGTGGACATGTTATAGGTAACATCACAGACTGAGAGATGCCAATTAAGTTGTATTGAAATTGCTTTTGTGTGCTATTCTCCTTGTTTCAGAGTTGGTTCTCGGTGTAGTGCAGTTCTCTAATTAGGGTCTGTATTCTACTACCAGCACGTAACCATTAATTATGTATGTAGGCATTAAATCTCACCTGATTATTTGATGTGGAGGCATATCTTCCTGTTCTCCTGCTCCTCTACATATGCACTTTACGACAGGAATCATTGGATAACCATGTCCCTATTCTAATGGTACCGAGGTAATTGCAGGCTCCTACTGCTGGCACAACTGAGGAACCGGAGCGCTTGGGCCTGAATGACTCATTAGGGTGGGCTAGACATACAATTAATTTACACTACATGGGTCTTGCCTGCTAGGTTATGATGCTTGCAATGAGTTAGCTGAGCCGTATTTAAATAGATTACAGCCAAACGCTGTATTGTTGAATAATATCACTTCTTTTCAAAATCTTGCACCAGTGAAGCATACCATTGGACCCAATATGGATCTATCTGTTCTTTAAAGAGCTATCTAAAATCACTTTCCTGCTCCTTTACTACACCCCTGTATATTTTTCTTTTTTCCAAATTATAAACTTAATTCCCACTTAAAGCAAAAGTTAGAAACAACTTATTTATTTTGTTGTTAACATAACGTCAATGGCACAGGCTCGCTCATTCACTTTATCGGTTACTTAAAAACCTGAAGCAGTTTCACTGTCCCAAAAAACAAGATAGGGTAAAAGTTCTGCCAAATTCATAGCAATGTGGAATAACTGTGGAAATAAAGTATTTGCTGTCTGCTCAGTTATTCCTGGGACCAATTACCAAGCCAAGAGATTGTATATCAATTCCACTGATTGAATGGTGCTCATTTTCTGCATAAATTGATTCTAATGTCAAGCTGGAATATTGTCTCCAAATCTATTTGAGAATCCCAGCTGCACTTGCTTTCCTGTGTTTAATCAGTTAAAACATACGCTTATCACAGACTTGGGAGCCTGTATGTGTTCCCCAGCTTAAGCCCTGTGAGCCAGTTTCTTGAGTACTCTGCCTATTCTTTTCTTGTATTAAAAGACATGGTGTCCCAGTGCAATTTCCACTTAACCCCAGTGAAATATTGATTTCTATTGGGAGTTGAAGTATCACTGCATCCAGGTCCTTTTTAATTCATGCTGCACTCTTCAAGTGTCCTGAATTTTGAATTTGAGCTCTACAGCTTTGGACATTACTTTCTATTTATGGTGCTACATAATTGCATATAGCCGGTGGTTATTGCCCTATGAGATGATTTATGCTAGTCAGGTCTTTGTCATTGGATTTAAGCTGTTGGCCAGACTATCTCCACAGAAGAATCATTTATCCTAATAGGGGAAGGAAAGGAGGATAATTGGGTCCCTGGATGTCTAACTTTTTTTTTAAACCATGTCAAATGTGAAACCTAGGTTCCTAAATTCTTAAGAATAAGACAAGGGAGTTGGCCATTCAGCCCCTTGAGCAGATCATCACCAGAAAATGGCTGTTAGAAATTTTTATCTGGAATGTGGGGTAATCTTGAAAACCTACAGTATTTCTATTCATCCATCTGTTACAGTAAGTTATAGGTCAGACCTTTGTGTCATTGGTACATATTGTATGCTCTGTTTCCAAAGTGTACACAATATTTTGCTACCAGGTTACTGTGGAGCACTTGAATGTTTTTAGTGTAAAGTTGTAATAAATTGTGTACATTCCTACAGAACCCATTCACAGAGTCTGCATTTCATTTATCAATACATGGAAGTTACCAAGACTGGTCAAACCAGTTAATTGGGCTTTCCCATTGATTAACTTAAAAAGTTCTATATTCGCCTATAGTATATATATATAAATACCTGCAGAGGTCTACACATGACTGCTTACCTCTTACACTTATTATATATGCCTTTTGTACTTTGGTATCAAAAATAGCAGAACAAAGTTTCTAAATTTTCTGTGGCAGTGCTGCTGTTTCGTAACTGTGTCTACTCTAACTCATTTGCTCTTTGGCTAGCTGTGGTGCAACTGTTATTTTGAAGGTTGTGTTTCAGCTTCATAAATACAAAACATACTGTTAGTGTTATGTCCACTGCTTCGCCTTTTGTGCCATTTGAAGGTGGAGTGGGTAATGTTGCAGCTTTTCAGTTTATTGCATTCCTGTTGAATCACTTTGACTATGGCACCATCATAAGGATTTCACTATGGACCAGATTAGATGTTTTAATTTTAGAGTCATTTCTCCTCTAAACATCACCCCCTGCTCCATTCAATTGGATATTCTGTATTTTTTGAACATTCAATTGCAAGGTATGCCAAAAGTTCATTGGTTTTATCTGTATTTCAATGAAGTGTATTGTTGGCTTTTGTTTTGGACACGGTTGAGCCTCTGGAAGCTCAGAATTTTGCTGATGCTGCAATGCTACAAAGATATGCTTGACTTTACTGCCTGATGGGCAGCTGTATATCAATTCCTACATATCACATGTGCAATGTCATGAATTTTCATTAAAAACAGTTACACTAAGAAGGAGGCCATTTGGCCAATTTCAGTGTTGTCTGCAAATAATATTAACAAGGGCATACCCAATAATTTTCTTTTAAAGGTAACTGCCTCTACTGCCCTTTCAAGCAGTGAATTCTAAACTCCCAACACAATTTGGGTGAAAGAGGTCCTCTTTTAATCCTTTTTTTATATCTCTGATTTATTTGTTAAGGAAAATACTACCCATAATTTCTAGACCACTCTTGACACAATTATATCTCCTCAAATTCCTCTGTTCAAAAAAATTTATTTCAGACTTCCAAACTGCACAATATTTCCTCATAGTTAAAATTCTCTACTCCTGGCAGCACCCTTAAATCTCTTCTGTACCATTTGTATTGCAATCACATCCTTGCTATAATGCAGTGATCAGAATTATACAGTACTCTTACTGTGGATTAAGTAATGCTTTATACAGTTCCATCATAACCTTCCTGCTGTTAAATTCTATGCCTTAAGTATTCAAGGAAAATGTGTGCTTCCTTTAATTTATCTGCCTATCTCGTCTTGCTACCTTCAGGAATCTGTAAATGTACACTCCAATGTCTCTTCCTCTGTTCCTTCATATTCTACCATTTATTATGTATTTCTTTACTTTTGTGATTTATTCTATCATATGCAAACTTCTTGTTTGTGCTCACTAAACTTGAGTTTAAAATGTTGTCACAAAATAAGGAATTTATGACTGTTCGGCAATGTCTAACTGGAAACGGCCCTCCAGTTTTAGTTTAGTTTTTTCAAAAATATATTACTGATTAGGAATACGTCCTTGTCCAAAGTTACAAAGTTCAGTTGTGCAATCAAGATCAGCTTCATTCAACACAGATAAAGAACTCCTTGGTGTTTTACTACACTTGCAGTGCAGTTTATAATTATAATATTCATTCTTGTTTGACATGGTTTCCAGTACTTTGGTTTTTGCCTATTGTGTCTTCGTTGAAAGTTGTCCCAATATTTATTGCATCCTGCAATACAAAATTATTCTGGTCGGAATTACCATTTGCTTCCTGCCACTGAGCTAGTTTTGGATCCATGCAACTTTCTTTTCTCTCCAGATTTCACCAACATGCCGCTTGTGACTTGTTAATTTAATTCACCAATAGATCTACACACAACATTAACCACAGTTCTTGGTTTTGGATACTTTAGAGCTATTTTCTATTTAGAGATTTCAGTCAACCCATTGAAACCATGGAATTCCTAATTTACTAACTCCTACAGTTTATCAACTTTACTTGACGCAAAGCTTAAGGTTTCAAATGTAATCACCGTTATGAATTAGCTTGCCTTTCATTCTTTTCAACATAACTGGTACCTTGTTTCATGGACCTCTTTTTTTGATTTTCGTTGTTATTTACCAGAGATGACAACACTGAAGTCAACATTAGCAGTTTCAAGAAATTCTTCCAAAAACAGGACCAACTTGTACGCTAAGTATAAAATGTGAACCACTAGTATTGGTCTAAATAGTCTTTATCTGAACAGTGACAATAACCAATGTGTTAAATGTTATTTAATGAAATAGTTCTAGATAGACTGACCAATAATGTTTAAAAAAAATAAACTCCTGTCTTCAGCATTTGGCACTAACAGTTTATTGCATTCCTGTTGAATCACTTTGACTATGGCATCATCATAAGGATTTCACTGTGGACCAGATTAGATGTTTTAATTTTAGAGTCATTTCTCCTCTAAACATCACCCCCTGCTCCATTCAATTGGATATTCTGTATTTTTTGAACATTCAATTGCAAGGTATGCCAAAAGTTCATTGGTTTTATCTGTATTTCAATGAAGTGTATTGTTGGCTTTTGTTTTGGACATGGTTGAGCCACTGGAAGCTCAGAATTTTGGTGTTTCTAAATGATCATGCAACACCAGTCATTTTTGTTCTATAAAGCAACTGCAACAACTAGTGATTGCTTTGTCATTTCAGAGCATTCTGATAATTTTTTAAGTACCGTTTCTGTTGCATGCTTTAAGATCAGGCCAGTGGCAGGCCCATTCTGGTACATTTATTCTTGGGCATTTTCCAGCCATTTTACTCTTTCTTTATTGTATGAGATTTCAACTAACACTAAACAATAAAACATGTTGTAGCATATTATTTGATGAGTTAACAAACATTATTTCTTTCAACTTGAAGCTAGCTTCCTGCTTCATTCTTTTTGCAGGAGTACTACCTTCAATCTTGTCATTTTTTAATGTCAAGATGAGTTTCTGACCACACATACATATCATCCCTGTGTCCATGTATTTATACTTCGTAAAAATACTCTGGTCCTGACTCATCTGCTACTGCAACACTTATTCATGTCCTAATTAATTCTAGATTTGACTATTCCAACATATAACCCACATATAACGCTCTGTACAGAGCAAAGAACAATTCAGCACAGCCCTCTGGCCCTCCAAGCCTGTGCCAGCACGTTTTGCCATTCCATACTAAAACTGGCTTCACTCACAGGATCCATATCCCTCTATTCCCCTCCTAGTCATTGTTCGTCCTGGTGCTTCTTGAATGATGCTATTGTGTCTACTTCCACCACCTGTGGTAGTGTGTTCCAGCCACTCACTGCCCTTTGTGTGGAAAAACTTGACTGGCAAATCTCTTTTAAAACACTGCACCTTGAACCTGTGTCCCCTAGTAATTGACCCTGCATCCTGGGGAAAAAGCCTCATAATTTCCACTCTATCCAAGCCATTCACAATCTTAAACTTCTATCACGTTGTCCCACAACCTCCTGTATTCCAGTGAAAACAAACCCAGTCTATCCAACCCTTCTTCATTGCTAAAATCCCCCATACTAGGCAACATCTAAACCTTTTCTCTACCGTCTCCAAAGCATCACTGTTCTTCTGGTAGTGTGGTGACCAGAATTGTATGCAATATTCCAAGTGTGGCTTAAGTAAAATTCTATAAAGCTGCAGCATAACTTGCCTATCTTTATACTCAATGCCCCTTCCAATGAAGTCAAACATGCCATGGGCTATTTTTAACACCTTATCTACTTGTGCTGCCACGTTTAGTGATCTGTGGACCTGCACAGGCATGTGGGTGTGCATATCAATACTGCTAAGGATTCTGCCATTCACACCAAACTCAAGACTGAATGTGTTCTTTAGTGGCACCCAGGTCTCATTCACTCGTACTCCCATGGTTGCTAGCCTCCATTAGCTCCTTGTCAAGCAATGTCTTTATTTAAAATACTGATTTTTTTTTGAATCTCTCCATGACCTCAACCCTCTCTATCGTTGTAACCTCCTCTACCCCACAACCCTTCAATATGTGTTCATTTAATTATGACCTCTTCAATGTGCCAATTTAATTGCTCATCCTTTGGTACAACTGCCTCTGTTCTGGAACTCCCTCTCTTTTTATCTCCTTTCTTTTAAAAAGCTCCCTAAACATCTATCTTTTTGATCAAGTTTTTGACCACCTTTATGTGATAAAGCTGAAGCGTTCATAATAATCTTCAGAGAGACAGGCCGAGTGGATGATTCATCTCCAGAGGTCACCAGCATCACAATTTCAGCCAGTTTGATGCACTCCTCATAATATCAAGGAATGGTTGAATACTGGTAATAACATTGAAGTCATATGTTCCAAGACTTGCTGCACAATTAGCTAAGCTGTTCTTGTGCGGTTACAACACTGGTATCGATCTGACAATGTGAAAATTGCCCAAGTATGTCTTGTACACAAAAGCAGGACAAATGCAAGCTGGCCAATTACTGCCCCGTCAGTCTGCTCTCAATCATAAGTAAAGTGATGGAAGGTGTCATCAGCAGTGTTATCAAGTAGTGCCTGCATGGCAATAACCTCAGTGACACCCAAGGTACTGTCCATCTTCAGCTATTTCATCAGTGACCTTCCCTCTGTTGTGAGGTCGGAAGTGGGGATATTTGCCAATGATTGTGGGACGTTCAGCACCATTCATGACTCCTCAGATATTGAAGCTGTTCATGTCCCAATGCAGAAAGACCTGGACAATTTCCAGGCTGGGTATGAAAAGTGGCAACTAATATTTGTGTGACACAAGTGCCAGTTAATGCCCATCTTCAATAAGAGACAATCTAACAATTGCTCCTTGACATTCAATGATGATACCATCACTCAATCCCTCACTATCAGCATCCTGGGGTTGTCATTGATAGAGACTCAACTGCACTCACCACAT